GATCTGTGTGCCTTTTTGCTGCAGAGCTCTGTAGCCCTGGCTTGGCTCCACTGTCTTCTGGCCTGAATGTCATGTAGAAAATCTTCCATTAATAAGAGACTTGCGGGCCGGCCCGGTGGCGCACTGCTACAGTGTGCCGCTTGGGAGCGCGGCGGCGCTCCCGACGAGGGTTCGGATCCCACGTACAGACCGGCTGCTCACTGGCTGAGCAAGGTGCGGGCACAACACCGAGGGTTGCGATTCGTTGCCGGTCACGAAAAAAGACAAAAAGGAAAAAAAAATAAGAGACTTGCTTTGTTGACAATCATAAACTCGCTATTATTTTTTTCAGTATGTTAGATGTAGGTAGGAGTCATTATTCTTGGTATTCAAGAATATCTACAGAACAGATTCACGGGTAGATCTTGCTTCAGTAATTCTCTCTGATCACTTTTTCTTCCAACCTCTAGACTTAACTTTGTGGTTGTTTTATTTCATTTGGTTTTGGACTTTCCTTCTGTGGGCACTCTGTAAACTTTCACCGGGCCTCTCTGCCTCTCTCCTCCTCTCTCTTTCTTCTCTCTTCCTTTCCTTCCTTTCCTGAGAGTCAAGTCCTGGCTGGGACTTACTGCTGGCAGCCACCAGAGTTTATGTCCTCACACAGACTTTACATACAAGTAACAAAGCACCTCCAATTTTTCTTCTAGGGAATTTGCTGTTTTCTTTTGTATTGCAGAAGTGAGAAAACCCATTAATTTTGAAACAAATGTATGCAAATACATTTATTAATCTAGGAAATAGGAAAATCAGTTATTGCTTCCTTTATAAATAATACAGGCTTAAGTTTTAAAGATATTACTTTTGCTAGAATGCATTAGACAGCTGTGAAAAAAAACAACATTTTTCTTTGTGGTAATATCTTTAACCAGATTTGTAGCACTAACAATATTTCATATGTATATATTATTTTTATTTAATACAGGTAATCTTTTTATTGCCAAATCATATTGTTTCTCAGGAGATTACCATCAGCACTCATAAAAGCTGCAAAAGGGAAACAGGACTGAGAGAAGGCATCAATCTCCCGCAGATGGAAAGCTCAGGCTGCAGGTTAAATACACGAAGCTCTTAATACATTTCAATGACTGACTCATTAGGTGTAGATTTATTTAGGCACCAACCCCCCCCCCATTTTATTTCCATTTAAATTTAAATTTGATGGTGGACGTCATCTAATTTCAACCAAGAGCAAAGTGACCTTGTAGAAGAGACACATCCTTAAGCTGCCTGTGTTCGGTTGAGACCCCACAGGTAACTGGGTCTCATGGTGTCCCTGTCCCTGGGCAGAGAATGACGCACAGATCTCACTGGATCCTCAAATCTGACTTGAAAAATTGGCCAGCCAATCCCTGCCCACCAGGAGGCCCAGGTATAGCCTGTCTCAGGTGGGTGGTAGGTTCTCCCCTCCCAGAAAGAGCTGAGTACCCCCTGGGCCCACACACAGCAGATTAAGTTTGCCCCAGGTCCAGGGGTTTCCCCAGGAGTCCTGCATGGGGCAAGGCTTGCCCTTCGGAGTTGCCTCTATGGGTTTGACCAATTTTGCCATTCACTGTTTTGACAACCTTGGGAAAATCAGTACAGTTTGAGGAGATTCAGTTTCCTGGTCTGCAAAAGGGAAGTACTGATTCCTTCCTAATGCACCTGCTGTGGGGAGTAAGCGAGATCACCTATGTCTGTGTGCAGCTCTTTCAAGGCTCTAGCACAGGACAGACAGGCCAAGAGAAGGCTCCTGCCCTTCTTAACCCTTCTTTCCATCCCCAAATGCTGATGAGAATCCTCGGCCCTCTGACAAGTGAAGGCAGCCGATTGGAGCAGCAGAGGCCACTGCCACTCTGGCCCTTGGTCCTGAGGCCACAAGTGTGCTCTGCAGAAGATGGCAGAAAGGAAGAAAAGCTCCTGTTAAACAAAGGCTCAGACTTGATGCGGACACATGAATTATTGAATCCCAGGGAGACAATGTGTTTCTTGGATGTCCCTAAACTGAAGTGGACCCAAGGCCCAGTTTCAGAAACTCCTGAAATCCCCTGTCCCTGGCATCTTCATTTCTCCAACCAGGATCCCGTCTGAGGCTCCTCTCTGCCTCCTCCCGACCCCCAAGATCACCTGATGAGAGGACCAGGGCATCCAGGGAAGGCATCGGCCTTAAGTCTTACCTGGCCCAAGCCTGACCAAGCTGGGGCTGCATCAGGCCACTGCAGTGATGGGCCTAGGAAGCTAGGCTGCCCTCGGCAGGTGCTACAGGCACCTTGTTCTTCTTGGACCAGTCTCCTGCCCCTTGAACTCTGGTTCTCCCAGCTCTCCATCCTCAGACATATTCCCTCTGGTCAATGCTGAGACCACCAAGCCCAAAGTCCCTCCCTGCCCACCCGCCGCCCCACCAAATGCCATGTTGACGTCACCAGGGCCCTGACCTGACCAGCTCTCCTCTCAGCCCTGCTCCTGGCCTAGGCTTGCCCTCTGCTCGGAGCACTCTGCAGCTTCCCAACACCAGGCTTCCAGAGTCACCTCTGGGGTCAGCTTCTCCAGGAAACTTCCACTGACCTCCCATGTAGAATGTCTGACTCTTCTCTTTGTCCTGTATTTGGTTCTTTATTTCCTGTCTGTGGCACTTGACCGTGAGCCTCTCAAGAGCCACATCTGAGTGCCACCATCCTTGTTGCTTTGTGATAAGTGTCTGACTCAGGGCTGGCCCTCAGCAAACTCAGGGGACGATCAGATGAACAACTGTGGTTTTCCTGCCTGTGATCTGAACTCAGATTTCCACACGGGGGAAACACGGATCCCTAGATCACTGTGGATCATGCATCCCCCCTCACAGCTCTGGTGCAAGGTTCCAGAGAGTGACCGCATGAACCCATGTGTGAAGAGACAGGGCACACCTGCAGGGACTGAGGAACAAGTGTGTGTGGGGAGAGAGACTGGAAGAGCCTAAGAGTGGACCCTTGCCTTCGAGGCAGAGTGGCCGGGCCTGGCCACCGGACTCATGTGCACATGGTTGACCACATTGGCCCCTTTTCCCACAGGGTGGAAGCTTTGATGTGGCGGATAGAATGTTTCACAGCGTGAAGAACACGTGGGAGTCTGCCTCCAGGGAGAACATGAGTGACGTCAGGGAGCTGACCCCGGAGTTCTTCTACCTGCCCGAGTTCTTAACCAACTGCAACGCGGTGGAGTTCGGTGAGTGCAGGCCCGGGCAGCCGGGGTGCGGGGCTCCCTTTCCTGCAGCACTCAGTTGTGACTACACAAGCCCCTCACAGGACCAGTGCAGTTGGTATGAGGCCTCCAATGGGCAGCAGCTCTGGAAGAAAGGTGGCTGCAGAGGAAGGACGCTGGGCTGCAGGCTGCCGGCATGGCACTGAGCCAGGTCTCAGCCGTGACCTTTCCTCCGAGGGTCCTCAGGCTCCATACACAGTGAGACAGTGGCTGGGGGGCAGAAGCCCTGACAAGTAGCCCAGGCCTGGCCCTGCCCTTCATCAGCCCCATTTCCCCCACATCCCACAGATGGGTTGATCTGGGCTCCGGGAGCAAGACCCAGAGATGCTGTATCTCCAGGCCAACTGCGGTGGGTGTCCTAGGGCAGTTGTGCAGATATTGGTGGAAGCTCCTCCTCTCCTGTGCTCCAGGCCCAGCCCGGGATGAGCCAGGCCTTTTTTATTCTCAAGAGGAAGAGCAAACAGTCCAGGTCCCAGTGGGCAGGTCCCCTGATCACCACGTGGACCCAGAGCCTCCACTGCAGATGTATAGGAGGCTGAGTCAGGGCGCCTTATGGAGAGAGGTGTGCCCAGAAGCTGGGCAGGACGTGGGCAAGCTCTCCACCCAGGGGCAGGAGCAGCTGTGGCTGCTGGCCAGGCTGGGGATCGGCCGCTCTGTGAGAGCACTCGTGAGCCATGGCCAACACACCGTAAGCCCCAGAGCTCCCCTTCCTCAGGCTCCTCTTCCTCCTCCAAGCAGCACATACAGGCTGTCCCTGAGACATGCTGGGTGTGGCCCCAGGGGAGCATAGGTGAGGAGATTAGTCCCTGCAAACCCTTGTGCAGTGGTTTTCAGCCCTGGTTATGCAGCCAGAACACCTATAGAGCATTCCAAGCATAACCTGCCCAGGCCATGCCAGTGAGCCTGATCCGTGGAACTTGTGGCCTCGGCAGTGATCAGAGTCTCAGATGCCTCACACACACCAGGGCTGAGAACCGGACAAGTCCAATGGACAGTCCCCACAAAGCACCGCGAGGCCCATGACAGGAGTAAGTCAGGCATGGTGGACGCCAAGAGGAGGGCCGGCTGAGGGCTGAGCAGCCTGGGGCCAGAGCACAGCTCTGTCTCGGAAATGACACACATGAGGCAGAGAGAACAGGTGTCCTCAGGGAAGTCCAGAGCGCAAGTGGTTATTGAGCACCTACTGTATGCAGATACTTTTTTAGGCACTGGGCCTTTAGTTGGGCTCCTGGGATGGATTGCCCTGATGATGTTTATATTCTGAGCAGGGAGGGGGAAGGGCATAGAAAATACAGACAGATAAATAAGTGAAATATGGTTGGATGCTGAGAAGTCCTGTGAGGAAAACAGGAAAATGGTTCAAGAGTGACTTTGAGGGACCTGTGTTCCTCTGGTCCCCAGGAAGGACCTGTCTGAAGAGGTGGCAGGTGAGCTGAGACTGAATGACGAGGAGGACCAGGTCAAGCCCAGCTCTGCAGCCGGAGAGAGCAGGGGAGCCTTTGTTCCAGCCGCACCGTGAAGGCTCTGGAGGGTCCGAGCAGGGCTATAGCAGATGTGTGTTGAGAAGTCCTCATGTGCCTGGTGTTATTCTTAGCATGTTATGTGTATTTTCTCTTGCAATTCTCATACTAGCCGTATGAGGTAACTCCTGGAATCACCTGCAGTTGTGCAGGTAGATAACTGAATCCCAAAGAGGTTAAGCCACTCACTCAAGGTTGTGCAGGTGGGGAGGACAGAGACTTGGGCTGGAGTCCAAGCTCCTCTTCTTACTGTCTGGGGAATCGCCTTCTAAAGACCTTGCTGTCCTCACTTTGAAAATGGAGAGAAAATGCATGAGCTGTAGAGGCAGAATGGAGATTCAGTGAGACGATGTAGCTAATGCCCAGCAGAGTTAGGTGCTCCGCATGCGACAGCTCGTATTGCTGTCACTGCTTCTCCTTGTTGTTTTAGTATGCGTAAAAAGCACCCAGAAGTAAAGGAGAGTGCGGTGGAGAGGAAGATGCACCAGCAGTGATGGCACCGAAAGCATTTCAGGACTTGTGAATCAAGCACTGCACCACCTGGGAAGTGAGGAGGGTTCTGTGGAGGAGACAGAGGCCTAGAGGCCAAGCAGATGAGGATGGGGACACTCCAGACAGAGGCAGCAGGAAGCAGCGTGGCCTGCGCAGGACACGACTCACACTCTGGCCTACGCAGAATCAGCAACCTGGGGCAGCACAGTCTTAACATCCCCTGGCTCCTAGCCCAGCTTGAGCCCCCATTTACCCAACTGTCTCCTGTTTCTCATCCCACTCAGGCTGCATGCAGGATGGGACTGTGCTAGGGGACGTGCA